CCCTATTTTCATTGGAGAAATGTTGAAGGGTATGGTGTGTCGTTTGGGGGGGGTAAAATATTTTTGCAAAATTCTTCAGTGAAAGGTCATTCAAGTCACCTTGGCCTGTGTTGCATTTTGAGGAACTAACACTGTGGCCTCCTCTCGCACCTGACCTTATCCAGTTCCTCTGCAGTTGCAGCTGTCTGCAAATAAGCCATTTGTCATTTGCTCTGTCTGGCAGCAGCCAACTAGAGAGCAGCCTTCTGCCAAAGAAAATTATTGCTACTTTGCAAAGGGGGGGAGGGGGAGGAAGAGAGCTACAACTGCCAAGGACAGAATGGATGATACACTGGTACCTCGGGTTAAGTACTTAGTTCGTTCCGGAGGTCTGTTCTTAACCTGAAACTGTTCTTAACCTGAAGCACCACTTTAGCTAATGGGGCCTCCTGCTGCCGCCGTGCGATTTCTGTTCTCAACCCGAAGCAAAGTTCTTAACCTGAAGCACTATTTCTGGGTTAGCGGAGTCTGTAACCTGAAGCGTATGTAACCCGAGGTACCACTGTATAGGAAGAGGGGGAACGGGTGAAGTCTCCTACATCCCTGGCGATTGACCTGATCTGGATGAGGTTGCATTCCGTCTGAAACAACCAGTTTGGAGTTTGGGGTGCTGCCCCTTTCGGGAGGTGCTGTGGTCTAAACCACTGAGCCTCTTGGGCTTGCCCACTGGAAGGTTGGCGGTTCAAATCCCCACGACGGGGTGAGCTCCCGTTGCTCTGTCCCAGCTCCTGCCAACCTAGCAGTTCAAAAGCATGCTAGTGCAAGTAGATAAATAGGTACCACTATGGTGGGAAGGTAAGTGGTGTTTCTATGCACTCTGCTTTCCGTCATGGTGTCCTGTTGCACCAGAAGTGGTTTAGTCATGACCTGGAAAGGTGTCTGTGGACAAACGCCAGCTCCCTCAGCCTGAAAGCAAAACGAGCACCACAACCTCATAGTCACCCTTGACTGGACTTAGCCGTCCAGGGGTCCTTTACCTTTTTCTTTTTCTTTTTAACCTTACCTATCTTTGCCCTGGAAGCTCAGATGAACTCAGTGGCTAGGAGTGCCTTTTACCTTGGAATGAATTCTGGAGGGTCTCCTGATTCAGAAAGAATGGGGCATAGGCAAGATCTGAACAATAAATGGGGGGAAAGGCAAAATTCACTCATCCCTTAACCCTTTACAAACAAAAAAAAGCCAACACAATATTGCAATCTGATTATTTTGGACCCCCGATCTCCTTTCAGTCTCTTACACCGGGTGTTTATACCTCTTGGGTGGAAATTACCTCCTGTCCAACACCAGCAAAGTGAAGGAAAGAGGTGTAAGATTCTTCTTCTTCTACTGGAGGCATTGAGAGTACTTAACACTGTCCCTTTTAATTAGGAGCTCATTAATAAATCCGTCTTGTTCTCAAATCCCCACACACCATTGTACAGTAGTTCATTAGCTGAAGAAGAGGCAATTTAGATTTCCTCAGATAATAGCATCTGTCACTAATCACATTAAGAAACTATGCAGCAAGGTATCTGAAGCCAAACCAAGTGGTTGGCTCAAGGGGTCGGGGAACAGAAGTGCAACCAGGGAGGAGACAGCCCCACTCTGACGAAGGTGGGGTGGGGGAAAGATACTTCTGAAAATGTCTGAATGTCTCCCCAGATTTTAGAGCTCCAAATTAATTGGCTTTGCTTCCAGCATGGAATACATGCCTTGAAACTCATTCACTGTTCCATATTTTTATTTCTGACTGTCTACAGAACACTGTTCATGTGCAGATTGATGAAGCATTCCTTGGCTTCATTTGCATCTTTCTCCCCTCCTCCACCAAATTAACCATAAGCATTGATAAAAACGCAGCACAAATTGTGGGCCGGTATAGGGGTCCAAGTGTTCAGCTACAACCCCAGAGCCCATGGTTCAAATCTCCACTCAGCCATTATGCTCACTAAGTAACTTTGAGCCAGTCACCTTCTCTCAGCCTAACCTATCTCACAAGGGTGTAACACATCGTTATATACAGTTTTGACTACCATATACATTTGTGCAAACAATTTCCCCAGATGCATATTATTTTCACAAGTTTTGTGTACACTTCCCCCTAAAAATGCAGACACTGTTTTTGTGCAAATTGGTTGGAAAAATGCATCACAAAATTCGGATGTGTATATATTCTGAAGTTGGCTGTGTTTTGGTTCTCATAGCAACTCAGAAAGTGGGTTTAATAAATGCAGCTATTATTATTATTATTATTATTATTATTATACCACGCCCATCTGACTGGGTTTCCCCATCCACTCTGGGCACCTTCCAGCAAAATATAAAAACATAATCAAACATCAAACATAAAAAAATTCCCAATACAGGGCTGCCTTCAGATGTCTTCTAAAAGTTGTGTAGTTATTTATTTCCTTGACATCTGAAGGGAGGCTGTTCCACAGGGAGGGTACCACTACTGAGAAGGCCCTCTTCCTAGTTACATGTAACTTCACTTCTTACAGTGAAGGAACCACCAGAAAACCCTCAGAGGTGGACCTCAGTATCTGGGCTGAGCAATGGGGGTGGAGACGCTCCTTCAGGTATACTGGACTGAAGCCATTTAGGGCTTTAAAGGTCAGCACCAACACTTTGAATTGTGCTTGGAAACATACTGGGAGCCAGTGGATGAAAACAGAATTGGAATTCTCCCTCTTCCCTAGTGGTTAACCTTGATCAGGCTTCCTCAACCTCGGCCCTCCAGATGTTTTGAGACTACAATTCCCATCATCCCTGACCACTGGTCCTCCTAGCTAGGGATCATGGGAGTTGTAGGCCAAAAACATCTGGAGGGCTGAGGCTGAGGAAGCCTGACCTAAATCCAGCCACTTCAGAGTGCTCAGAGTGGTGGGTCAGGAGCAATAAATAATAATAAGGTGAGGACAGGGCAGATATCAGCAGTGGACCCTTCCAAGCAACTGGGGCACTGGTGGGTGCTCAAGCATGCCAGGTGGTGACAGCAGCCCTGATCCCAATGCCTGAACCTGTAACCTTCTGTATGTAAAGTACATGCTCCACTAGAGCTTTGGGCATTCATGCCAACATGGTATTTCTCACGCCTCAGACAAGGTAGATTTTCATACCTTTTTTCACATTCTGGAGACTTGCCGTTAAAAGTCTCCATTCCAGATTGTGAAGGAGAAGCTGAAGGACACTCGAAAGCTACTGACTTGTCCCACAAAGTGCTTCTTCACTACTGCAAAATGAGCTAAATTAGGACAAGTACTTATCCATTTTTGTGAAGTCCTGGATTAAATACACACACACACACACACACACACGGGTCGTCTAGCAAATTTAGGTTTTAATACCTATTTGGAAGCTACTAATTACATTTAAATTGCAAAATGAAAACCAAGCACTTCATCTCCAAGTCATGCAGAACCATTAGAGCAAATGTGCATTTTTAATGGTCCATGTGCATTATTTCTTTAAAGAAGAAGAAAAAAAAAGAGATTAATGGACATTGAGGAACAAGAAGAGTTCATTGCCTTGACATCATCCCATTGTCTGACTCAAGCTCCTGGTCCATAAGACTAAGTTTTCACAAGCTTCAATTAAGTTCAGTTCCCTGCCCATTACAGTATATGAGTTCTCTTCTCCATCCAGCCAAGTGGGAAGTTACGATGCAAGGCTTTTTGTTGCATAATGAAAGTTTAGCCATAATAATGAGTATTGAACTAGTGCAATACCATCTGACATTCCACAAGTGAGCATGCTTGCAAAACCATATTCTCGTGCCAAACGTTGCAGTCTGAGCTCCACTCCAAAGAGTTGATTCCATCTGCTGCATTTGTTTGATCTGCAATAGCCTGTCCTCTGCCATTTTAAAAGTCCAATATGGTGTTTGTTCTTGAGCTTGAAAAACATCCCATTGCCCTACAAGCTGTTACCGACATTTCAAACAGAGCCTCGCTAGTTGTAGGCTGTGCACTACATCAATTCATTTGTTTCCGGAGTTTCAAGTGTGAATACTCGGCAGAACTTCAAAATTTGCAAACTACAAAAAAGGGGGTGGCTAAAAAAACAGCCCGTTGAAGACTGAGTGGGCATGGGAAGCTGGAGATTTGTTTGGGAGGAGAGGGAAATGAAGGAAAAGAAATCCTGAAGGAGCACTCTGCGTTGAATGAAAATCTTAGTCAAGCTTTACTGCACGGGTTTTATTCTAATTCCTGTCTTGCTCATTATCTTGATGAGAAGAGAGGAGTTTTTTTTACCGTTTCCATTAAAAATACAATTCTCACATTATATGCATTATTCTATAAGCATACTATACATTCATACAAGTTTCCTGAAGAAACCAGCTCTAGGGGAAGGGGAGATCTTCCAAGATGCACCATGCTGTTCCAAAGTGACTCACCGTGGGGGCAGAGATCATCAGAAGCCTAATTAAAACAGCACATCACATATTACGTGCATGTGGCATCTGTGCTGAATCAGCTCACTTTTTTTTTTTTTTTTAAAAGCAATTTATTGGATTTTACAATAGGAATAAATGTAATAAACAATATAACATTCGTCTTAACATAATTTCACATTTTCTTTGGACTTCCTCACATCTCCCGCTCCCACCTTCATCATTATAACATTTTGTCAGCAATTTATCATCTTATTTAAATTCTTATATCTCTTCGATATTTCATGATCTTATAGTTCTCATAAAGAGTTAAACTTTCACAGTTTTTCTTATTTTCTTAAAAACTTCTAAGTTAAGTGGTGCTCAGTTATTTAGTCTAGCATCTTATTCAGCATTCAGTCAAATCACAATGTTTTTGTAGGTAGTTCTTAAATTTCTTCCAATCCTCCTCGATTCTCTCTTCTCCCAGGTCACGGATTCTGCCAGTCATTTCAGCCAGTTGCATATAGTCTATCAGTTGCATCTGCCATTCTTCCAGTGTGGGTAGATCTTGAGTTTTCCAATGTTTTGCGAGTAGTATCCTTGCTGCTGTTGTTGCATACATAAAAATGTTTGGTCCTTCTTTGCCACCCCTTGGCTGACAATACCCAAAAGGAAAGCCTCTGGTTTCTTAGTGAAAGTATATTTAAATACCTTTTTCAATTCATTATAAATCATTTCCCAGAACGCCTTCACTTTAGGGCAGGTCCACCAGAGGTGAAAGAACGTTCCTTCACACTCTTTACATTTCCAGCACTTGTTATCAGACAGGTGGTAAATTTTTGCGAGTTTGACTGGGGTCATATACCATCTATAAATCATTTTCATTACATTTTCTTTCAAAGCATTACATGCAGTAAATTTCAATCCATTACTCCACAGCCTTTCCCAGTCCTCAAACATAATATTATGCCCAATATCCTGTGCCCACCTTATCATAGCCGATTTAACCATTTCATCTTGTGTATTCCATTCCAACAGCAAGTTATACATCCTTGAAAGTATCTTAATCTTTGGTTCTAACAATTCTGTTTCTAATTTCGATTTCTCCACCTGGAACCCTAGTTTCTTATCATTTTTAAAAACTTCTTTAATCTGAGCATAATGTAACCAATCTCGCACTTTGTCTTTCATTTTCTCCAAACTCTGCAATTTCCAATTGTCTCCATCTTTTCCTAGTATTTCCCAATATTTTGGCCATTTGGCCTCCATATTGGGTCTTTTTCGGGCCTTAGCTTCCAAAGGTGAAAGCCACCTTGGTGTTTTATTTTCCAGCAAGTCTTTATATTTTGTCCAGACATTAAACAGTGATTTTCTAACAATATGGTTCTTAAAGGCCTTATTTGCTTTAACTTTGTCATACCATAAATATGCATGCCATCCAAAAACATTGTTAAACCCTTCCAAATCTAACACATCAGTGTCTTCAAGAAGTAGCCAATCTTTTAGCCAGCAGAACGCTGCGGCTTCGTAATACAACTTTAAGTCCGGCAGGGCAAAGCCCCTCTTTGTTTTGCATCAGTTAGTATCTTAAACTTAATTCTGGGCTTTTTGCCCTGCCAGACAAACTTCGAAATGTCTCTCTGCCACTTCTGAAAGCACTCCATTTTGTCCAAAACCTGAAGTGTTTGAAATAAAAACAACATTCTTGGCAATACATTCATCTTAATCGCAGCAATTCGGCCTAACAAAGAAAGTTTCAATTTTGACCAACTGTCTAAGTCTCTCTTAATTTCTGTCCAACATTTTTCATAGTTATCCTTAAATAGACTTAGATTTTTTGCTGTTATGTTTACCCCTAGGTATTTTACTTTTTTAACCACATTAAGTTCCGTCTCATTCTGAAACCGTTCTGACTCTGTCTCAGTCAAATTTTTTCCCAAAACCTTGGTTTTCTGTTTATTTAATTTAAATCCCGCCACCCGACCAAAGTCATTAATCAATTGTAATACTCTTTTCGTACTAGGCTCTGGCTTCTGCAAGGTCAAAACCAGGTCATCTGCAAAAGCTTTTAGTTTATATTGTTTCTGACCAACCTGAATTCCTTCCACCAACTGGTCCCCTCTAATCATGTTCAATAGCACTTCCAGAACCGAAATAAATAACAAAGGGGAGATAGGGCAACCTTGTCGTGTCCCTTTTTCAATTTTGAACTCTTCTGTAACCACATTATTAACTATCAGTTTAGCTTTCTGTTCTGAATATATCGCCTCAATCCCATTCTCAAAACCCCGTCCCACTCCCATCTCTTTTAAGTTTCCCATCATAAATTTCCAAGAAATATTATCAAAGGCCTTCTCCGCATCTATAAAAATTAAAACTGCTTTTGTATTTATGTCAGTTTGGAGAAGTTCCAAGATATCAATAATGTTCCTTGTGTTAGCAAACAGATGTCTACCTGGGAGAAAACCGGCCTGGTCCTTATGAATTACTTCATTTAAAACTTTTTAAAATCTACTTGCCAAAATATCTGCAAATATTTTGTAATCCACATTTAAAAGGGAGATGGGACGGTAGTTCTTCAGTTGTGTCTTTTCAGCTTCTGACTTTGGTATCAATGTGATAAACGCTTCCTTCCACGAATCCGGTGCCCTCTTCCCTCCATAATTTCATTGCTAACCTCCATCAAGGGTTGTATCAAATAGTCTTTTAGTGTCTTATAATACTTGGAGGTCAGCCCGTCTGGCCCTGGAGATTTGCCAAGTTGCATGTTCTGAATAGCTTGTTCAATCTCCTGTCGTGTTATTTTAGAGTTCAGGGTTGTCCTATTTTCTTGTGACAGTTTAGATAATCCATTTTTGCCAAAAATTGTTTAATCTCGACTTCGTCTTGCGGCCCTTGGGTATATAGTTTTTTAAAATATCTCTGGAAACACTTTCTAATGTCCACTGGATTCTGAATGTTTCTTCCATCGACCTCTAAATTTGTAACCGTATTTAATCTTTGTCTTCTCTTCAACTGCCAAGATAGCAGTTTTCCACATTTATTCGCCGACTCAAACGTTTTTTGTTTCATTAATTTAATCTTCCATTCAATTTCCTGATTTATCAATTTAGAATATTGTGTTTGATACAGTTTAATTTCTCTCAGAGTTGGCTGTGACTTTGGATTCACTCTTAATTTCTTCTCTAATTCTTTTATTTTATCCAAGATCTTGTCTTTTTTCTCATTTTGTGTTTTTTTCCTTACTACATTCTGTTGTATCAAGAATCCCCTCATGACAGCTTTGCTTGCGTCCCAGACGATTCTTTTTTCCACCGAATTATTCATGTTTATCTCGAAATAGTCTTTCAAAACTTTTTGGGCCTTCTTGGTAATTTCCTGATCTCTAAACAAATTGTCATTCGTAGAGTTTAAAATCTCTTTCTTTCAGCCTCCACTCCTCCGCCTTAGTTGCTTTTTTTTCAAGTTCAATGGCTGCGGAAGACGGACTTCCTGTTTCCACGCTCTCCGCTTTCAGCCAAGTTCAAGCCGAATTAAACCTTCTCATTTAAAATTTGTAATTCCAAGTGATTCAGTCTTTACTCACGAATAAGTTGTTTTTCTTCCAGGTCCGAATTTTGACAGGAAAAGGGATCAGCGCTCACCGGCAGCAGCAGCGCGGCTTCACTCCGCTGACTGTGAAGCGGCTCTCAGCGCCGCAACCCCTCCACGCTCCGGAGCCCTTACGAGGCTCCTTCTGCGGTTGGAGGGCTGCTCGTGGCGCCCGCCGAGCCTCAGGACCCCAGGCTCTTGCTGCCTGGGGTTTCCTCGTTGGGTCTCCGCTTCGCCGTAGCGGACGACCCGATTTCAGCGGAGCCTCCTCTCCCGTCGGGAGAAGACCGCCATTGCCGTTCGCGCCGCCCCCCGGAAGTCCTGAATCAGCTCACTTTTAAGGCTAGACGCATCCGTCCTTTCTCTTCCCATCACTAACATGACTGATTTGCCTAATGGAATTTGACAAGGAAGCTCTGTCTTGGTTATCAGGCTGGAGAAGGAATCTCAAGGGGGATGTGGCAGCTGTGGGCGTGTGCGTGGGTGTGTGGGTGTGTGGGTGTGTTTGCACACATAGTCATTTGATGCACCAAAATGTTTTTGTTGTTGTTGTTGTTTGTTGTTTAGTCGTTTAGTCATGTTCGACTCTTCGTGACCCCATGGACCAGAGCACGCCAGGCACTCCTGTCTTCCCCTGCCTCCCGCAGTTTGGTCAGACTCATGTTGGTAGCTTCGAGAACACTGTTCAACCATCTCGTCCTCTGTTGTCCCCTTCTCCTTGTGCCCTCCATCTTTCCCAATATCAGGGTCTTTCCCAGGGAGTCTTCTCTTCTCATGAGGTGGCCAAAGTATTGGAGCCTCAGCTTCAGGATCTGCCCTTCCAGTGAGCACTGAGGGCTGATTTCCTTAAGAATGGATAGGTTTGATCTTCTTGCAGTCCATGGGACTCTCAAGAGTCTCTTCCAGCACCATAATTCAAAAGCATCAATTCTTTGGCGATCAGCCTTCTTTATGGTCCAGCTCTCACTTCCATACATCACTACTGGGAAAACCATAGCTTTTACCATACAGACCTTTGTTGGCAAAAGACCAGATAAGAAAATAAGAAGTGCCCTGCTGGATCAGCAATGGCACATCGAGTCCAGCACCCTCTTCTCACAATGGCCACCCAGATGCCTGTAGGAAACCCTCAAGCAGAGCTCAAGCACAAGAGCACTGTCCACTCCTCTCATTGGCTCTAGCTGCACCTATTGTTGGGCTCCCTGCCTTTCTCCCCAGCAGTCCCAATGGGCACCATTCACTACTGACTGGTGCTAGTGAAGATGTTTCAGTGATTTCTTGCTCTCAAGGAGATGCCTGACTCTTGTGGAGTCCTCCACTCCTGTTACATAATAGCTCTGGATCGATAAACATGCCTGCGTTGCAGCTTTTTGAAGAAAGCATTCTGGTCGGAATGGTGGGGACTCCGCCTTTGTTAGGTATAATGGTTTAATTGTACATTGAAATGGAAAATGGCTCTGTATGTGTATTGCTAGAGGGAACATTGGCAAATTCCACTGAAGCTACTTAAGAGCTCTCTGAGTGCCTAATAGGTTGATAATTAACTGAAGATGCATCTCTGCTGCTCTCTCATATGGTGTTTAACTTAGATCACATGGGAGCTGTATTCAGTTGCAAATCTCCATTTTGTGGGAGTTCTTTTGGTTCTCAAGCCACTGAAGTCAAAGTGTGTGCTTTGATTGAGAACAGCCTCAGGCTAGAATGGAGAAAAGGTTTCGATTTCAGGTATGTTTGAAGTAATTTTATATTTTTAAGATGCTGAACCTGTGCTTGGACAAGCACATGATTTTATGCAGCTATTTGAATGTATCATTATTGCTTTCAGTCTGTTTTGGAACAAGTTCTGTTAGTAAAGCTTTGGAACCATATTATTTGCCTGGGCAATTTTTATTCCAAGAAGAGTCAGTTCTTATTCATCCTATTGCTTCCATATGTGCAATATTAATAACTGCAATAACCTCCACCTGGCAGCACTGGAGTTTCTCCAATAGGCCTCCGCCCCCACACCCCACCCACTGCAGCCTGTTCCCCAAGGTCCTTGATCTGTAGGGTGTCTGGTTTCTCCTCCAAGGACTCATCTGTCAAATTCTGGGTCAGTGGCAGGCATAACAATAATCAGCCACTCAGGTTGTTATCAGGCCAAAAAAAGTGGGTGTTTCTACAAAAACAAATAACTATTCATAGATGGATGGATGATATGAAAACTAAATAGCCACTTTTGCCCATTTATAAACACATTAGGTGCTGTGCCCCTTCTTGCTCTGCTCGCCAACCCCC